GCTCATCTGGCGCTTGTCTCTTTCCTCATGCGGTACATACGTGCGGTCTGCTACGTGAGTGGGCTGTGATTGGTGTGTAGTGAGGAGGGGAAGTGACAAGTATTGGCGACCCAAGTGTTGAGGGGCATCGCCTGGAAGGCTACGTGTAAATATTGGGTGTTCGAAGTGTGATGAGAACTATCTGTTGGGTGATTGAGGCTGAGGTGGAACGGCGAGACAATGCTGGTTGTGCCGATGCTGTGACTGGTCATCGCAATCATCTTCAGATCATCTGGTGAGAATTATCTCTATGATTGGGGGCAGCTTGAATGAGGTACGTTGCTCTTAACCTTATCTACCCTTTTCATCACTTCTTACCGTGAGGTTGTGAGTTCTGTCTTGAGAGTCCTCTCATTGTGAGGTGTCGTGTGCACTCAACCTTGAGAGTCGTGATTGTTCACGTGGAGTATCTGGGGGAAGACGGGCGGAGCTTCTTGAAGGGCCCTGGACGAAGCACTGGGTCACGGTCACCATGCCAACCCACTGGGTGTAGTACACGCATGCTTCGCTGCAAGTCATTGGTTCTGCTGCTTGCGCATGATAGGGGTTAACTCAAGTATGGCAGCCTCTACAGACGCTTACCAGACCGTCTATAAACGTTTCTGGCTGGGGACTCGGCTCTGATCWGGCTGTGATCGTCGTCCTGCTGCGACGTAAAATAATTCCTGATGTCACTTGGGGGCGGACGTTAAATTGCCTCTTGATCAGCCAGATCATCCGAGTGGAAGGCTCGTCGGCGTACGAGGGTAAATAAGAGTGTTGTGGCTGCCTTGCTCGACGATAACCCGGGGCACAGGGGTGGGACCGGATTGCACACCTTCAGACACGCTTGGCTTCAGATGCTTAGGGACGTGACACCGTGACATTGAGAAGAACAAAGGGAGGGGTAGGTTCCAGGTGATAAGTTTGGGTTTAAATTCCATGCTATGAACAGACCCAGTCAGTCAACATTATTTTTGTTTTGATTAGTTAGATGGACAACCATGTGACATCTGACAGACAACATTAGTTTAGAATATTGTTTATTCCTTATGCTTCCTCTGTTTGAGAACTAATCTTACTAAAATAGTATTGACGGTAGGAATCTGACTTACCTGTTGACCCCAAATGAGTCTGTTCCAAAAATAGCCACCACTAAATAGTTGGTCTGTGCACTATGCTGCGGTAGGCATCATTGAATGATCTAGTGTAGGCGGTGCACAGGGTTGTAGCCTATGAGCGACAGTGAGGACACCGGAGAGGACGACCGTAGGATCTTGCGATCAGATAGAGGCCCAATATCTCACGTGTCCCTTGGACCGGGGGGTGATAGGGAACCGTTCCGCCGGCAGCCGGAGAGGCAGCAGCAGAGGAGAGCTAGAGCAACCGAGGCCAGCAGGGCATTAGCTAGCGAGGCCGGTGCTACAGCAGCCATGGCTACCATAGCCATGAGCACGTCTGCACAGCAGACTTCCCCAGCCGGTAGTTCAGGTACCGCCGGGTCTACGGTCGCGCAGACCGTGAGTCAGTCCACTGGCTTAATGGCAAGCCAGCCCGCGGTGTTGTCCCCAGAGGATGTCGCCATCCAGCAGGCAGCCCTGCAGGAGGCACAGCTACAGCAGGCATTAGGACAGATAAAAAGAGAGAAAGAGATGATGATTAGAAGAAGAACCAGGATGCAACGGAGAGGGGCAGACATAGAGGAGTTAGAAACGATGGACCTGACGCATATGGATGATGATGTGGAGGTAGTTAGGAGGGCCCTGCTAGGCGTAATTGAGATGCAGGAGCATCAAACTACCATCCTTCAGGACATTCAACAAAGCCTAGCCGTGTTGGCA